TTACGTATTAAACTTGAATAAATACGGTAAGTAAAAGTGAAAGTCACAATTTAAAAAAATACTTGGTGAAATTACTACGTACTGTAACAAAGTAAATGTACTTAGTTACTATAAACCTCTGATAAATGATAATAAACCTCGTCTCTTTATCACTAGTGTTTAGCTCGTCATTGTCTCCACTGAACTATGTATTACTGTGTAAATGTGTACCGACCTGATCAGGGTCTCAGTCCAAAGGTTTCCTCAGCTCACATCAGACCCACACATTCAGAGATCAGTATACACAGTCTGTTTCCTTAATCTAACATCAGTGTTAATGTAGGTTTGCTGACAAACTAAACTAATGAGTTTATGTAGTATTCTTTCAGAAGGGTATGTCGTTTGAGACTATTTTAAGACTGAAAAACAAAAGCCAGTCCTTTCTTTGGCTAACCATTAGCCTAGTGATCAGTCTAACCTGGATGAAGACTTATGCCTTTTCTCCAGACTCTGCTCCATGACTGAGGTCACAGCAGATAAATGACAAACTACTGAGACCCGTTTGATAGAAAATCACTTCAAGAGAGACCCTATCAGAATACAAACTTGCTTAAAAAGAAAATCTGCACATCAGTGATAAATGTCAAGTGGTTGAAAAGGGTTTTTGAATGAAAGATTAATGACACKAAGGACTAAAATACTAAACAGAAGCTTAGGGTATTAAAAACAAGCAAACATTATTTTAAGGTAATATTCAGTCCCAGTTGATTCTTGGGTTCTGTTGAGTAAAACAGCTGAACTTGACCAAGTTTATTCATCTTAAAAACAAACAGTTTCGTACCAGRTCCAGCTGAGACTGTGACTGGGACACTACCGTGATCCACAATGGTACCTTTGGACAGCACCTACAAAAAACAGGCATCACAAGCAAAGAAGCTCTTTTTACAGATGCAACAAACCTACAATTAAAGACTTCATACATGCCCTTCCCTTAATACATTTTAATGTATTAACCAGTGGTGGGCACCAGCCCGCTAAAGCGCAAATCCGTTAACAGCGGTCTTAATTATTTGGTTTGTGCTTTAGCTGTCGTACTAATTTTTATAATTCATAAGCAGATTTGTGCTTTCTAAAATTAAAATGCAGTACCACTAATAACTAATTATCTACCAGTCATCATTAT